AGTTGTAAGCATGGAGTTGGAAAAGCATCCACACACTGACAGAAAAGCATGGGTCAAGAGAATTGTACTTAAAAATACTCAGTGATACTTCTGGGAAGATATTTCTGCCCAAGGAAAAGGCACACACCTAAAAAGTAATATTCTGGTTATTAATCTGTAGTATGGCACAGTAGGTCACATAATTAATTAGGTTTTTCATTAAAACATGTATGAATTAGTTTGTACATTTTCCTACAAATTAATTTTATGTCTGCAAGTAGCTTCTATTTTCATAATTAGAAAAATCAGGAAAATTGACAAAGGTAGTAGTGCAGATCTAGCTCAGCAGCAAAAGCCAGTGAAACTTTATACAAGGATTAAACTAGGTACGATGTCACATGATACTGAGGGGAAAAGAAAAAAGGCATTGATAGGGATGTGTAACTTGTGGCTCATGCTGCCACAAGTTACACATACATTTTGTTCTGGAAAAAAAAATTCCAGCAGTTTAACGGAAGACTATACTGCTCAACTAAAATAATGCTTTGTGTTGGATGAAAGTGATTACATGGAACAGTTGTGGTTTCAATAGTCTCTCAATACACTTGGAGTTGGCTAAGAAATGAGTGTATGTGTATATATATAAAAAAATAAGTGTACTGTCCCGCTTTTGGTGAGTGCTCCTTCATGTTCCTGTTACATTACACTCTGATGTGAAGGAAAATACTTCAGTACAGAGGAGCTGCTCTTCACAGCATTGAGAATACCAGGTTTTACTTTATATCCATGATTTAAGAAGGGAAACCTCCAGCTGGAGAGATGGGAAGTATTTGGGACTGATTTTTATTAATAAAGTTTGAAGCTGTATTAGTTAAAACAGGGCTGGTGCAGGCCTGGAAGACAGACTGGCCTCAGTTACTTGTGGCCCTGCACTCGGCTTTTCTGCTCTGTGACCCTGTACAGCTGGAGTTGGGTAGGCAATACTGGCTGGAGCCCAGACCACTGTACAGAACAGCTGCCTCTGACCACTGGTGCCTCTGTGGCATCAGCTGCTCTGCCACTGCTCCAGCTGGCAATGCTGCTAGTAGATTTTATCATGTTTCTAGCCTAATTAAAGAATTGTGTATGTCTGAGCTGTAGTCATTGTACACATGCCAAAGCATGGTTGCTGTTTTTTAGTGCAGAAGTGTTGTCTTTGCTGTGGCTGTATTTTTTAGAAGAATGCATGATGTTCTTTTTAGAGGAGCACATGATGTTTTCAAAGAAAAAATACATATCCTGGGTTGGGCAGCGGGGTGACACTTTTTGCCCAAGTTAAGAGAACAACCGGAAGTTGTCAGAATACAGAATCATGGATACAGAATACAGAATCATCTATCCACAATTAGGATAGAAAAGACCTAAATACTCCTGAGATCATCGACCCCAGCCTAAGACCTGTGTGATTAAATCTGGCATTCTTTTTCTTTTACCTTGGTCAGACCATGTTACTGATCCCACCACATCTGAGTGATACTTTAAGCCAGATATTGATTCCTACACTCTCATAATTTCACTGATACAAAGATATTCCAAGTAAAAGGCATTTGTTTGAAAATGAGCTTTCAGTGAACTGCAGAACAAGACAACATCTTTATATTCCTGTGAATCTGATAATAGACATCCACTTAGTGATTACTCCACTATTCTAAACCCAGCTGGAGCTTGGAGAATAAGTTACAAGAATATGGAAATGTGTAACAATACACACAACTGGAGATCTGAACTCTGTGCTACTGCCAACTCCATTAACTTTACTGAAAAAGGAAGGTAATATTTTTAGCTGTTCAGGTCAGTACTTCATAATTTCTTTAAGCAGTGTTTTATATTTGGAGACTAAGTGCTCTATCTATACCTGTTTTGAAATTCATAAATTGATGGTGGTAGTGGTGCATTCAGTGGCATCTATCCCCTAATTTCTGGACTATAGGTTTCTAGATGTTCCAAGCTGTAACTAAGAGCTACTTCTCTGAAGTCAGGAACTGTTGGAAGTGTAATTAAACTACACATGAATAATTATATATAAATTTAATAGAAGTGGACCTTTGCAACTCACAAATAAGTGACATGCTGACTTTTCTTTAAACTACTGAAAGCTGTGCTCCTGGTCCTGCTATTGACTGGCTTTGTAACACTTTCTCTTGTGTTTGTCACTTCACAGCTGAAAGCCAAAACACACTGTGGCAAACATAATTTTAAAAATCTGTGTATGATGAAGCAATATTTGTTTTAGAACTGTTACTACCTTTTTTCATGAATGCAGTGCTTTAGTTGCAGAATGAAACACATTTTGTCAGAGCTATATTCAATTAGAAAGTCTCTTTAATGCAACTGTATTGTATAACACATAGTTACAATTTCAGATCACATACTTCTTATCAGTAAGCAATAATAAGTGTTTAAGTCAGATGGGAATCTGAAATACATCATTGGACTGGGATCTTAAATGCTATTAAAGCTACAATCAAAGCTCACCTTGGCTCAACTTGTCCAATATGTTTGCATTAAGGTAGTCAGACTCCTGTTAAAAGTTCAAAAACTCACATTTAATTGAAATTTAGATTAAAAAGCAGACATTAGGTACATCATTCAGGCTAACAAATATACATAGTGGTGAGTCAAGAACAGAAAAACAGTACCACAAATAAACCATGGCTCAAAACCTACTTTAGCTGGATCGCTGCAACCACTCTTCCTATGCTGAGGAGCTGTGTATGCGTTGCTGCCCTGCTCTGCTGTTGTTGGACTCTGCCCTTTCCTTGAGGTGTAGACACCAGTGCCCATGGCTTCCAAGGAAGGCCTGAACTCATCTCCATTTACCACTAGGATATGGGAAACTTCAGTGGGGGAGGGGACGGGGGGGTAAAAATGCAAAATGGAAATTATTTGGCTGAAAAAAATTTTCTCAGAATCCAGAGAACTTTATTGAGTAAAACAGATACAAAGGTGATATAGACAACCCAGAAATAGCTCAGTAGCAATGTTTTCTGCAGTGCCACATTACAAATAAAGCACACTAAGAAACCTTGCTGAGCTTTTTCAGCTTTTTGAGTGTTAATGGCAAGAGGGGGACACAGCTTCCCACTGGAAGTGGGACTCTGTATTCTGAGTAATTCAAATCAATCTAGAAGATATTTTTGTTAAATCTTCAAGCTGCTATTACTACTGTTGTATTGATCTTCAACATCAGTGATTTTATTGCATTAGGCAATATCCACACCATCAAACTCCAGACACTTCTTCCCTGGGAAGTCCCTTTTCCAATCACTTGTTTAAAAGCAAAAACTAAAAAACAAAAAACCAACCAAAAAAAAAAAAAAAAAACCAAAAAACCCCACAAAACCCATTCCTTGTATTGCACATCTCACACAAGTCTGTGTATATATATATATATTTTTTTAAATATGCTACAATTAAAAAAAAAAGGTCTATGGCACTTTATTGGATATTAGTTTAAGAAGTTGATGAAACCACAGATGTTTGAAGAAATCTTCAATACCACAAAACAAAGTTAAACTGAACTAATTGGCACACAGGTTTTAAAGAATCCACAGAAAATTCCTCTAGATCCTATGCAGTGCATGTACATTAAGAAGCAGTTACACTCTACAACCCCCTCATGAAATCAATTAAATTAGCTTTAAGCTGATTTTGTTTTTTTCTTTCCCAGAGTGCTTTTAAAAGCTGCTGCTGAGGTGAACTTCAGGAGCAATTTAAACAGCTGTGTAATTTAATGAGTGCACCCTGCACCTGAAAACCTCATCCAGGAAAAAAATCACTATATATACCACCTTATCACTTGCTAGAAAAACAGAACCCTGAGAAAAGAAATTCTGATTATTTCTCCTCTGTATTTCTTCCCAGCCTGTCTTCTATCTGCACTACATGAACATGGATATTCTTGCAAGTTAGTTAATTATGCTGTTGCAGAGCAAGCTGATAATATACCAGCAACAAGCAGAAAAGCTGGTTCTTCTTGGTTACGAATGCAAACAAAAGCAAAATGTGCCACTGAAAATCTCTTTAATACTTAAAAAAGCAAACCCAAACAAAATGTACTATTGAAATTTTTTAAGCATCATGTGGATCACAGCAGATGTCAGCTAGTAACATGAAGGAAGGTTGTTCATTGTTTACTTCTCAACCAGAGCAGAGTATGCTCTCTCAACCTTTGTAAGGACTAACCTGACCTGATTCTGGCTAATCAAGTGCTTAAGCCAGTGCAGCATTTTTCATCCTAATACTGTGCCAAGACTTGTTGGCAGTGGTGAGCTGGACTTTGGATTGCTACCCACCTAAGGAAGCTAAAACCATACATCTGTTTGGTAATTAATTTTTAGCTGGTTTATATGGTACTCATACAACTGCTTACCCCCTCTTTTCCAACTGCAGGGCCCCGAGGGCAGGGCAGAGCTGAGCTGGTGGCCCAGGTTCAGTGCATGCTCCAGAAGGGGCGCAGGAGGGATGCCTGGAGGAAGCCTTGCTGAACCCCAGGTACAAGCCCAGTGCATGTCCTTCAAGTGTGGGGGATGTGTATGGGGCAACGCCAACGAGCACACAGGTCTGGACAGGGTGTGTGGGCTCTGATTTTCACCCTCAAGCATCACTTTGTGCTGGTAATTTTGCTTCATTAAAATCTTGATTTTTGCAGGCAGTTAGTCCCAGCCCATAAGTTTTGGAGGGGATTTAAATTCAATATTTAAAAGAATAGTGAGTTCCCTGTTTTAAAGTAGAAGATGGTGGATGTGTGTTGCAGGAGCAGGTGAATGCAAGAAGAGGCTGGGTTAAAACAATCCCTTTTTGAATACAGGCGGAAGTTGACCTTGTTGCACTGCATCTCAGAGGTCACCTGTGTATCTGTCCAGCGCACAGGAGGCAGGTGCCATGCGCACAGAGGCACAGGCTGCAGCTGCTCTCTCACTGTGGTGGGCAGTAGGTGCTGGAAGGGGACCCCAGCTCCGTGACCCCAGCTCCAGCTCTGTTTGCCAATCCTCCAGGCTGCCCTGGGCCCGCCACCAGGACTGCTGAACAGCTCTTGTCTTGTGAAGCACATCAGCAGTGCCTTGAAAGCAGCTACCTACCTGGACAGTAAAGATTTTAATAATAACTAATGACACATTTTAAGGGACTGACCAGGCAAAACCAAGAATCTCTGCTCTGTGTAAGAGTGAAGCAACATTGTCACTAGATGATGTTAAACTACCAAGAAATAGGAAAAGGAATCTAAAATTCACCTAGTATTTAATTAGAACTACTCAGATCAGTTATCCCCAATGCTCCTATGGTACAGTTGCGTCATTCCTTAGTTTGTTAAAATACCTTACAAACTTGGTATCAGAAGTAGTTCTAGTAAGTGAGGCACCACCACAAATAACACGAGCTGGCTTTGAGAAAAAATGGCATTTGTGGCAACGTCTGTTTAATTTCTGCTGATTTAGTTGGAAAAAGGTCTACTACTACACAAACAAAAAAAAAAAACCAAAACAAAACAAAAAAAATCTTCCCAGCCATCTAGAATTTGTAAAGGCTTCCTGAAAATTTTAAATTTCCTAAAGACTCATGTGTGTCTGGGTCATGAGACAGACTGATCTGTAGGCTGGGAATGACGTTTCACTGACGAGAGAAAAGGTACAATGTTGAATTACAATGTGGAATCCACAGTTGTAGGAGAGGCTGCAGCCCAGATAAGGCTGGTGCTGTGGGGAGCTGTTGTCTCCTTGAGATTTCGGAAGTTTTAATAAAGGCTGTAGAAATATTTCAGTTTTATCTGAATCAGGTGAGAGCCTATCTAATAACAGCTTCTCTGTCTAGTCAGTGGAAACAATATTTACCTGCTAAGTAATAAGTTGCACACACCTTGTGCTTTAAGTTTCAAGAGAGAGAAACCTGGCAAGGACTTGACTGTCTAAATGCCTTGAGACTGGTGTAAATGTCAGCTTTGCTCTCTCAACATAGAGTTAATATCGAAGAAGACACTGCACTTCTAGGAAGTTCAGTACCAAAAAGCACCTCCGTGAAAATGGTACCAAACCAGATGATGGTGAAGAAATATACACCAGTGAAGGGAGCCCTTGGAAACAAAGCCTCATTAAAATAGGCTTCTCTTTTGCTTAAGAAAAAAAAATGTGCTGGCTTTTATTACTCTTCAAAGTGACCAAGGAGGGTTAGGCAATCCGATTAATCAGAATTTTTCAGTTTTAACAACATTCCTGCTATATACATGTGATTACTCACATCCCCAGTCGGATTAATATATTCCACTGTGTCCTGATCACAGAATGAAACTAAAAATATCCCCAAGTATTTACATTCTGCTTTCCTGGGATCCTTTCTCTGATCCTCACTGCCCAGCAAAGAAGAAAGACCCTTTCAGTAGTTCAGGGTTGGAATGCATGGGGCTCAATCACACAAATGTTAAAAACAGGTAAATGGATCTGCTTGCCCAGTCAATGGAAAGCAGATAAAGATCCAGGTGCTGGTATTTTTCCCCACTGGAGTTAAAGGAGGCAGATAAGGTTTTTTCCTTCTTCTATTTCTTCTTGCACTTTGTCACTGGATGTGGCTATTTCAGCTTGCGCCGAGAAGACCGCGCAGATGAAGGTCAGAACGGTGCCACCGATGGCTGTGTAGAAAGCCCAGCCCAAGGAGCAGTCTCCCAGTTTGTAAGCAGAAGCATAAGGTCCACAATAGCTTATCGCCTTCTGGCATCCCCAACCTGCAGGGTAAAGTATCAAGCCTAAGATAAGGAAGAGCCCTAGAAATAAAAACAGAAAGAAGTTTTACAAACAATCAGTCTAACACCAGATGCAGCACATCTAGTAATTGTTATTATGGTCACTAATATTCATAATTTACCAGGATTAGAAGAAAACTGCCATCTCATCCATCCAATCTTCCTTTACTGATTGTTCTCTAGTATATGCCATGCAGTCTTTTAACTAAATCTGAAGCTACCCTATGATTTATGTTGTATGTGAAAGGCTTACTTTTTATGATAATGGGCTAATTCCTTATTTTAATCTCTGTACTCCTCGTACGTCCTTTCCTCTCACACATTATTGCTACAAATACAGAGCATACAAAATATTCAAGCATCTCCCCCTACTGCTTATGCTTGCACTTCTCAAAAATGTAGGAATACTTGCATCCACTTTTGATTTTGTATTTAGCTAGCCCTCATTTAGCTTTCTTTAGCCATTCACCATAAATGTATTTGCCTGTCTTCCTCTGGATTTTGCCTACATTGATTTTCTTGCCTGGAAAAAACCAAACAAACAGAAGACAACAAAAAAACCCCACTCAAAACCAAAACAAAAGAAACCCAAATAAAACCAAAACCACAAAAACCCAGATACACTTCTACTTTCTTGGCCACATTAAGACATAGTAGAGAGATAATACTGCCAGTTCACTGAACTGTTCTCATAACAGAGGGATTCTGGAGTCAGCCTCAAACAAGCAGATCCAAGTACCCATAGCCAGTGCATACATAACCCTGGGATCCTCCAAACAGTTGACTAACTACTTTAGAAGGAAAGCACTTTCCCAGTAGTGACAGGGGCAAAAGCCTCAACTCCCCATCTTGCTAAGCACCCCCAACAGTCTGGTGTGCCTCAGGCTGGGACTGAAAAGCACAGAATAGTTGTTCTGCCCATGTGATTGTCTATCATATTCATAGGTTTCTCTATGAAGACCATCTAAACAGTGAAGGGCTTCATTAAGGAAGTTGAAAGTCACATTAGTGTCCCTGCACACGTGTCTTTGAACAAAGAAAGGAGATTTAATCAGAATGCCTAATTATGCTAGTGGCTACAGTGCTTTCTTTTGGGCACTAAAAAAATCACAATGAATTAAACATATACCTCGCTCCTACAAGGAATGTAAGAAGGAGCTAAGCATAAGAACAGCTCACAGTATCAAAATTTGCTTTCTGTTTACCTTAAAAATTTACTTAAAAGAAAAAGAAAATTGTGAAAGACAATTTTTGTTTAAATACAGTCAGTTTATCCAGAAAATTAATATAGCTTTCCAGTTCCCATAAATATTTCCGATTTACATTTCAGGCACTTTAGAGCCCTTTATTTAACCTGGTATGCTGATGAAAACAGCTGCTAAAAGTGCTGTCACCTTCTAGAAGTAGGCTAAAAGTTGTGCACTAAAACCAGTCTTTTTTTTTTTTTCTTTCTTGTAACCAAGAGATTACAAAGAACAGGTTTAACGACTTGTTTTCACCATCTTCCATTCAGTTAGACTAGCAGTTAGACTTCTCTGCAGTATGTTAGGGCTCCTAAATTGTTCGTTCAACAAAATTTGGCCAGATGCATGACATTTTCCTCACTAACAATGTGGGTCCTAGTTAGTAAGCAGTTAATTTACACAAAATGCAAAAACCATCATCCAACTGTCTAAAATTAATGTCTGTGAATGCCAGACATTTCACAAAAGAAAGTCCTTCCTCCAGCATTTTTCTAATGATGACACAACACCATGGGCATGAATGACCTAAATGTCATTACTCTTTGGGGCGGCAAAATCCATTAGTGAGTGATATCCGTTCTCTGTGGAGGGATTTCATCACTGCTTACATTTAAGAACCAGTGACAAATTTCATGCAGTGTTTCCTGGCTGGTTGGCCAAATACATTAAGTATAAAGTATTGCTTTATCTTGGACAGGCCTGGATAAGCTGTGCATTCATCCTGCTGAGCCGTGCAGCCATTTCAGACTAAACACCAGCAGTTCCTTCTCCTCTATTCATCACTAGTTTCCTGTTCTGCGCAACCAGTACAACCACACTATGTATCTTTCTGACTGCACATTGGTATGGGCCAGTTGCTGCTCTCTCTAGCGATCACAAGCCCTTTGGTAGGTAAAAATCACCATCACTGAATTAAGAAGCTGGATCTGAAATGCCAGCATAGCTGCTGCCAACATGGAAGGTTTTTAAGTTTATCACTCCATCACTCACAAACCTAGGCAGCCTGTGTTTAACAGCAAACCCAGCTTACGGCTGGCTGAGTATCACAAACAGGACCAAGAAGACACATCCATCACTTTTTATCAAAACTAGAGCACTGAGCGACTCCTGAAAGTTACTGGTTCATGGAATGTATGCCCCAAGATGAAAAGCCATTACCCAAAACTCAGGCTCTCAAAAGGCACAGCACTGCTGCCAAGCGTAGTCATTAGGACTTTACTGACTTAGACCTTTTTTTTCAAAAGTAAAGTTCCTGGATATATAAATATAATAAATATATAAAAAGCCACAATTTTATAAACTTCATATATTTTCTCACAGATGAAAACAAAACCTGGAGGAAAGCCTTGACTATGGATTTGAATACAGTTAGAGTATGTACCTGATTTCAGGCAGCTAACTTTGTAACTCCTATACTGGACCAGCATAATGAAATCAAAAAAAGTAGTATTTTTGCTACCAAACCTTTCTACTTCTCCATTTCAGTGCAGACAGAAAGTGCTTCATGAGCCTCTTAGCACTATCTAATATTTATCACAATTTTTTGATTTCATTAATAACAGGTTCCTGCTTGACAGGAAAAGTAAATAAAGATGATTCCATTAAGTCAATTCAAAATACCCACAGGAGAAAGGCACTCCTCTGGTTCACGCTAACAGGAAGTGGAGAGGCACAGGCCCCTCATCACATATTCAGCTCAAAGCTCCCATATCCAGAGCAATGGCTGAGCTGTGCAGGGTCCCTTCCTGACTCTCCCAGAAAGGAGTGTTCAATTGAAGAGGAGCTTTGCCTCCTGCTACCCAGTCTCTCAGAAGAGTCAGCCGCAGAGCCCATCTCAATGACTCCTACAGCTTGAACAAAATATGCTCCACCACGCACTAACAGTGCAAACCATTGCCTAAATTGCCTAAAAGAGCAGACAGCGAACCAAAGCACTTAACTGTTCAACCACTTGCAGTCAGACACCCCTCAGAAAGATCCACCCCCTCTACTCCTGGAAACATGGATGTAAAGAGACGAGAAAAAAAACTATCTTCTGTTGACAGTTTGCCTTGAGACATGTCTAGCAGAAGGACAGTAAATATTAATTATAGAGATTTTTTTCTTAATAAATCAGTTTCTGTTTGTCCCTTTGTCTTTGAAGGGAAGCCAATACTGATGAAAAAGAACAGAGAATAAAAATTGAGTGCTCTGTCTGAACAAGTTTTCTACAACGAACCTTTTCAGTTCTTTGTGCTGCTGTACAATAAATGATTTTTAATTCACAGCCAATCTACCTGTGGAATTACTGCTGTTTGTTCACACTGCTGGGAGGAACAAATTCACTCTGAAAACATAACAAGTTGTTTTCCACTGTGCTCATCTACAGGCACACCACAGAGTTCATGCTTGCACTAGATTTAACTCCCTTAACTTGTTCTAGATTTAACTCCCTCTCTGGGCACAGCTGCATTGCTGAAACTGCAGCTTCTGCTGTACACATACTGTGTACTGTTCCTACTTTTTAAGCAGCACAATCCCACTTCTTGAAATCAGTTTGATTATTTTTCAAAATTTCCTTTTTGTTAGTTGTTGCCAGTTCTCAGTTACCTCTTCTCTGAGGAGTCCTCAAAACAGAGGTATGAAAGAATGTCACACAATGCTGCCAGATGCCTAGGCATGACAACAGAAAACAATTCAAATTACTTTTTTACCCAGAGACCTCACCTATAACTCTCTGGTGTAAGTTCTGTCAGCGAGAACATTTTTACATCTTTCACATAACCTTTTATTATCAGGCCCTAATTACTTGCTTTTGAAAAGACGTCTTTGCGAGATTTAGATTTTAATGTTACTATTAGATTACTATGTATCTCCTGATTACAACAGCCTATTAAACATCAGGCATTCTTTACTTAAATTGTGTAAAAACAACTTCTTTCTCCTAAAACACCAAATCAAAACCTTACAGCACACTGAGAACATCAGTATCAACACAGCAGACTGCATCACTGTGCAAAAATATTTCAGAAGACAGTTGATTAATGCTTTCTCCTATAGGAGAAGACTTTTTGTATTTGTGCGCCAAGACCTTTTCTCCTTTTACAGGCCTATAGCTGCAGCAAGGTATTGCTCCTCCTGGTTTTTATACACTGCAGCAATGCTGCCTGGTCAACATTGTGGAAAACCAACAGATCAGCCTTTCATTGTGGGCATTTTTATGTCACATTATGAGCTGGGGTTCAGATCTGAGGAAAACATTTCTTCTTCCTTGGAAGCAACCCTTGAGGCAGGAGGTAGGGCAGAGGCTTGTTCAGCCAAATGAAGGCATGCTATTTAGTTTTGACAGTCTCCTGTGCAGCTGCTCTTGTGCCATATTAAACAAGAGTGTATACTAACAAAGCCACTTTCCTGTTGCAAAGCCTGAAACCATCTACTCATTTCCTAGCAAAATAGTAAAAAAAGCTTTTAAATACTGCTGAAGAAACAGGAAATTAAGCAGCTGTGATCAACGAGGTGGCACTGCAATAGGCTCCTATGGAGCCGCACAACTGAGCAGCAACATTTTAAGAGAGGAAAAAAAAGGGTAAAAGGGTAAAAGCACGGAGGGACTAGCTTTGCAGTGCAGTGCAGGTGGGCTGCATCCCCAGTGGCACTGATCCTGATTGTCTTAATTTTCTGCAAAACCACACGGGAATAAGAATCAGCCCAGGGACAGTGCATCAGCCAGGCACCCTGCCTTTACTGCTCACATTTCCACATGTGTCAATACGCCACCCGAACATTTCAAGTGTTAAG